GAATTCGTGAAGAGGGTGAGTTGGGAATCTGAGGATGATGTTCTCCATATGGATGCCGTACTACACTCTATACGTACTTCAACAAATTGCAACATCAAATCATTTAAAGAAAGACCACAAGGTTTAGAAACAAGCTTCAATAATCGCCGTTATTCATTAAAGTCGTATTCTTGCAGCCTGAAAAAATGGCAGCCGCTGCGTAGGCGTACTAAAGGAAAGATTCATGCATTACGAATGACTTAATTACCAATTTCGGAGTATGCAACCATCTTAGCCTTTGGCATAGAAATCTTCTCTATGGCAGCGATTCCCCACTGAATGAACATGCCGGTGCGAAACAATGTAGTACATGTGAACAGCACTTCAATGAGCGGTGCAAGACTGGCTCTTAGGGTTTCAAAGACATGCTAGCTAAGGTGATTAATGCATGTGTGCCGACGTCAAGCTATTTTTTAGAAGAGATTGAAAATTTTTGCGAAAAAATACAAATGCATCAACGTGAAAAGAATCTCTACAAATTCACACTAATAATTTCAATGCAAAAGCCATATCACAGCAACGGAAGGAATGCTCTGCGGGCGATTTGGTTGCGGCGAACCTATATTTACTTGACTCGCGAGTGATCGACTAGTGGAGTTTGCTGAAACGTACAAGCTATTTTTCATGAGCACATTTACAGTGTGAGCGAAGCAAGAGTTTCTCATAGAGTTATCACAACGGCATCAAGAATGAAGTTGATTTGTTGTTGTTGCTATCGCCATCTAGGATATCAGGATGAAGGACCGATTACCCAGATTAGTAATGTCTGATGCTTATGTTTCTCAGAATGATTTAGGCGATGTAGGTTGCTGTGGCAAGGTTTGTTCCACGTCGCAAGCAAGTTCGCCCTTATCAGCTGCTTTAAGGTGCAATATAGGCCTCCGGAATGGAGTGGAGAACGCGGGTTGTTGTAACCTGTTCAAGAGGGGAGACAGTGGGAAGTACTATAGTTATTTCGGCATTGCTTTATTGAATCCCTTGGGTAGAGTCTTGGCAAAGGTGCTCTAAAGGAGGTACCACAACTGACTCCAAAATACCAGATGAGCAATGTCGCATCCTTCCTGGATGAAGCACATCTGACTAGGTATTTGCCCTACACGTGGTTGTGGAGAAATTGTGGGAGTTCCCCATTCGGTTTATACGTGCTTAGGAACCTAAAGAATGCCAATGATCAGATTCGATTCCGCGTAACAATCCATGGTCATGTCTACGAACATACGGAAACGATAGCCAGTTGCTACGGACCATCCATTTACCATATGCCGATAGCAAGTCTTGCGCCACTGTTAATGGAGTTAAGTCAAAATTTCCCAGCACTGGCATTGGTCTCCTACAAGGTTGACTTCTATTCGATCTCCTGTTTGTGTTGTACATGGAGAGAATAGTCAATCTGGACTTTCTCGTTCTCCGGCTTGTTTCTTTCTTCAGATTAACGGAGATTCAGTGGACCTGGTTGAGTTGTTCAGGTACCTCGAAGTCGTATTTACTGGTGATGGAAAAT